TTGTTGTTGTTGTCGTCGTTGGTGTTGCGGTTGTTGTCGGTGTTGTGGTTCTTGCTGTTGCGGTGGCTCTGGTCGTGGTCGTGGGGCCAAGTTGAACCCATCTTTGGGCTATGTGGGCGGTCTTAGGACGATATTAACCGCATATTGATCTATATTATATCATCTAGGTCGCTCAATCTTGGATCCATATTAAACATTTTTTTAGCTCCATCTTAGACCTATATTTGCCAAATTTAGGTCATCTTGGGGCATATTTTATATCATTTATGTTGTCACGACCCCATAATCCAAAAAAAAACACTATATAATCCCGCATTTCACCAGCGAACCCTTTACGCCTATGTCATTGCTCGCTATCTGCCAGGACGACAAAAAAGAAAATCGGTAAATCACGACTAATATTAACCCCCCTAAAATAATATGCTTTGCATATATTAATAAATAATTTATATAATATGTATATTGTTTTTAATTTATATAGATTTTTAATAATCAATCATAAATAATAATTCTATATATATCATCATATTTATTATATATATATTATTTCCTCTTCAATCCATTTAAATTTTATAATATTACGAATCAAATTTCAAATTGCAAATAATATAATTTTTCCTAAATATATTTTATTATATATATATATTTAAATATATATTAATTATTTATTATAATATATAAATAATATATCTACATAATATTATTATTAAATATATATAATTATATTATTAATATATTATATAAATATATTTTTTATATAACATTATAATAGTTAAACAATAAATATTTACAATATAATAATAATATAGATTAAATATAAGAATAATATTTATATATATATATTATTTATTTAATATAATATATTTATTTTATTCTTAATATTGTAAATGTAATATGTATATCCATATTTTCATATCAATATCGGATTCTTCGGTTTCTTACGACATTCTTCTTTCAATAGTTAGGAATATGTTTCGGCCCCTTCGGCCAAACTCCATGGATCAACCAAAGTGGTCCATGATCCAGGCATTCGCTCAGATTGTCTTTGTGCCTTGAATTTCTTTGTGAAGCGTTGGCACAAATAATTGCATTCATGACTTTCCATGCAGCTGCTCATCCCTCCTGCACCAAGATCTCCAGGCCCAAATCCATGCCAGGAAGAAAGGATTTGCGGGTCGGTGAGCAATATACCATTATCAACTCGAACTCCTTGTATATCAGAGACCATCATTTCCTCACCACAAGCTTCATACGTAAAATGCACAAATGCTTGTGCCTCGAGTGAGTGGTCTATGTAGTTTACAAAGCCATCGTTGCTGCTGAACTTGATGAAGCGCGTGTTCAAATGCTCTTCACCCACAAAAACATGGTCTGCAGTCAACCCCCAAGAGTCCTCAGAGTGACATTGATAAATTGAGCTTCTGACGAAGCGAAACTTCTCAGGCTGCAAGTCACAAAAGGTGCAAAACTCCAGCGCCAAGAAAGAAGCTAGCGCAAGACTCTTGACATCGCGCCTTGCTTCCTTGATGCCATATGTCTCATCAGTCCACCTGCCCATTTTACAAACGCCGACTAACTCATCATGACCCTCAGCTCGCATCATGTACACTTGCCTCATCGCTCCACGATCAAAAGGAAGATTGTGGACTGATACCTCGACATGTTCTTGGACCTTCTCCAGAAATTCCGAGCCGTCAAACACAAACTCTGTGCTCTTGCCACGAAGGAGCTTGCAATTCTTATGGCCGAAGGTAATCAATCCAGGTAGCTCATAGAATTGACTTCGCTCCTTGTAGGGAACCCTTCAACGCCCAAACAAAAATGAAAACAGCAACAAGGGTTAACGCCAGACACACGCAGGTTTTCAGCATTTCAATTCAGACAATTTCAGAATATTGCGAGCTCCTTGCGATTGTTGCGAGTGGGCTTGGCAAAGTCGTTAAATGATTGACCACTCCCCACGGCCTTGCCACGCTTGTGTTCATTCACCGCTGAATCCTTCTCAGCTTCAACATGCTTCAACTAATTGCTGAATAACAAGTTCAACGGAAGCCGTGCGTATGTCTCTCTATTTTTCTGTTTGTACCTGCCCCCTGAACAATATCTTTTGCCTTGGGGTTGAGCTTTGACTTTGCACAAGGACCATGCCTTGCGTCTCTGTGTTATGGTGCGGGAGACAGTCGCGAAAGCTGTACGCAAAGACGCAATTGATGACTGGCATGGCAAATGCATGCCATTTCCCAAATGGGCCATTTGCTGAAGAATTGCAAAATCTGAGGTTCCTTGCATGCCGATGGTGTACACTTGCAATGTGTCTAAAGGAAGAACTTGTGAGTTTGCGCCCAGCCATGAGAGGTACTCACAATAGTACTTCAAATAGGGACCGGCATCTCCTGGACGTGCGTCGGATAAGAAGATGACGCGTGTGCGCTCTCGTACATCGGACAGCGTGCGCAGGCTATCGATGACCCGCCGATAGGAAGCTCCGTGCTTGGGTTCAACATCCACTGATTCCAGGCAATCTGCCAGAATTGCTGCCGGGGATTGCTTGCAAATTGTCTGGCATCCCATCTCTGATACTAGAACTGCGGTGTATGTATCAGATCCGTGTCCTGTCAGGCAAGTGAATTTTGGTAGAACTCAAACACTCGTGTCTGCGGGCAGAGTGCGATTCTGAAAAATAGGCATGGCATTTGACTCAAAGAGAGGAGCCCTCATCTACAATCTGCAATGCGCGTTGACATCGGGGTTACACACGCTACACAGTAGAGTAAAATAGGGTAAACAATCTGTGGTTGCACTAGAAAAACTTACTCAATAGTTATTCCATGTTCTTCCCTATGATATATATATATATATAACTCAATCTAGCAACCATAATCCTTGCTTGCACCACTTACTTGTGCTAGTCTATGTCAGGAGCTTGTCCTGGGTCATTCTGCGCGAACTCCTTCATCATTAGAAAGGCCCCATCGATGCGGCGCATACTTTGACCATCCAACTTCAAGTCTTTCTTTGCCATCGATTTGCTGCTGTCAACAATGAAGATAATATGGCATGTCGGGCCTCGCAAGGTGAAGCCAACTGCCGCGATTCTGAGGTCAAGATTTCGTGGACGCGAACGAACGTTGAACAGTGGATCCGCATTCAACGAAAAAGTGGTGCAAACTCGAAAAGTGTCCCGCGCTCGTAGCGGCCACCAAACACTGACATCTAGTCTTGAGATGTTCGTTTGTTTAGCAAAGCAGCAAAGTAATATTTGCCGGTGAAAAATGACAATGCACGACAAGTCAAACCTGTTGACAAAAGCAACGAATTGTAATAGCAACATCCACGAAGATTTAGCCGCAGTGGAACACAATACGGCCCTGCTCCCAGGAAATTGGTGCAAGACCCTTGAGGCCTGAATATGTCACTTCTTCATAGGTGACTTCTCCTCGAGCTCTCTTAGCAGCTGCCACCAAAGCTTTCCAAAACCGGGTGTGAGACCAGGCCGTTGCATAAATGCCAGGACATGATCCCCTCTTCCTAGTTGTATCCTGATCCAAGGTGATAGCAGCCAGCACAAATGGTTCAAGAAGAAAACGTGTGAACACATTGCAAAGCTAGCTCACCTCCTAGAGTCCTAGAACAGATTCGTATACAGCACTCTGCGAATCACCAGATGCCATGATCCTTCCGAAAGAATCACACGTATGGCAAAGAACGTGGCATGTTCACCACTCCTGATGTTCTTCTTCGTTGATAAGGCTTTGCCATTCACCTTCAACAGGGTTTCCTTCATGTCCAGACTCATTCACTGAATACAAGGACTGCTCAATGACTCCCCATTGCTCTGGGATTTGATGTGTGTCTTCTTCGATGAGGTGTCGCTCCACTCTGTGTTCCCACCTGGCAGCCGTTTGATTCCATCTGATTTCAAACTTCAGTTCTGCAGTGTACCAAAATATGTGCCCTCTTTTGGACTTGTACCTTTCTTTCACTTGTTCTCGGTGGGTATAAACGTGAGCGAGATGAGGCTCTTTCTTGTAGATTCCAGCGTGGTGAATGAACTTGTTTGAAATATCTACATAGATTTCGTCATTGGAGTCGTCCAAATAGTTCTCCTGGTGGATCTCTCGGATAGGAATCAAGGCTCGGAAATCTGATACTGGAACCAGTTTCTGCTTTGTCGAGGGTGATGTCGACATGAGGCGAGGCTGGACTAGATTGAAGGACTTGACAAGCAGCTTTTTGGACATTCAAGACGGTTTTTGAACTGTAGACCATAAACCAGCGCTGCACATGTGTGTTGCATTACGTGCTTAAATGAGCTGCGGAAAGTAAGGAACACATCCGTCAACTCTGTAATTCTTGTAATTCTATCAACCGATGTCTTTCATTTGCATCTGGTGCAAAAAAGTAGATGTCTGGATTAAAGATACAATAACTCCTTGTATGGAAGCTGCGCTGAAGACCTGCATATATGAAGCATCTTCTTTTCATTTGTGCAGTAACATCTACACGGATCAGTAACACGTTGTAGCTTATAAGCAACACATGCTTGCATATGGCTTTTGTGTGCACATGTTCATAATTGTAAGGGCATGTAAGGGCCTTTAATATCTTAAATACTATCTTTAATGCATTTAAATACGATGTTTCTTTGACTTGCGCCATATCATAGTCCAGTCGCCTGCACGAGTGCTCTGTCGTACGGACCAATGAGTTGTCCGCAAATATCGATGATGCTTTCTTGGCAATTGGCAACCCAAGCTATCGTAATACATGTCATGACATGAATATCTTCTGCATTTCTATTTTAATGCTATTCAGTCCATCCCAACCGTCATGTCCCGTCAATCAGGTAAATCCACCTTTCCAACCTGGACACCAGGCAGCTTGATAGCGAAGCCATCTTCGCTCTTTCAACAAGATCAACAAGTCTGAGGATTTGGCCATTCTTCCATTTGTTACGCGTAACGCCAATCACAAACTTGATTGAGTCTTGGAGTCTTGGATAAACTTTGCCCACTAAGAGACTAAGAATGAAACACCAAGAAACATACCCAAAGCCATCACAGCTCCGGCTTTGCCTCTGGAAATCCCAGCGCCAGGTTGAGATTCTGCACACAGGCACCGCTGGCCCCCTGGTAAAACGCTCTCGAGAGGACTGTCAAGTATCCATCGACATTATGGGCAGCATTCTTGGCAGGAACACTTGCAAGGGCTTAAGCTGTCCTTCTTCAAAGACCAAGAATCTCTCTGCAGCCAAATTTACTTAGCCTGTTTGCGTTTGGCGACGTTGCCTTGCCCAAGTTGTCCAGCCGGGCTGCTAACCAAAGTGTCCCCTTGTCCTCCACAGCCCACAGCTATGCTTCCACAAACTCAAGTGTATCTCTCCTCTGACTCAAAATGGCTGCTTTGGTGGCAAAGGTGTTGTTTCCGAAAATCACTCTCAGTCTGTCTTATCTGCTGAGACTCTCAACTCGTCCACTGATCCAGGTGCGAACTTTGGTTCATGCCTCGTTGGAAAAGCAGAACAGTTCCAACCTAGGCAACACATTGAAGGGAACGCGTATGAAAACAGAAAAAATAGACATCCATAAAACATCATTGCTCTGTTTGAGGCCTGATTCATGGAGTCAAAGGCGAGATGATACTATATATGCTGTTTCTCATACAGTTGAGGTATGCTGAGATGATGTCAACAAGCGGTGCGTGAGATCACATGACAAAAGTAGAGAAACCATTGGAGATGATCTCAGACTAGCTTGTGCTGCCAAACAAGCTGAGATGACAGGAACTGAGATAATGGGCCCAAAAGGTGAACTCCCACGCGATAGCAAAGGTTGCAAAATTAGGGAAGCGTGAACCTGGATAGAGAGTGAAGCCAAGGAGAGCCAATGACAGCACTTATAGCACGGTGAGCTGAAGAAAGCTTGCTCGCTCATGAAGCATGGGCAAAGAATGGGCTTTAATGTATGGATAATGTTCAATTCTAGGCGATGTAAACAAGCATAAGTGATGCCGCTGTGTCTGATGCTGGTGATGCATAGGATTCCGGTTATGATGCAACATATTTCCCAAGGTTAAACAACAACTATCTGATGCATCCCAAAGTTGAATCACGCAACTATTTCTGTAAGGTATTCCAGGTGTACTTCCAGCATCTTCCAATTGCTTGTTCGGATTGTTAACTGCAATTCTTGTAACCTGTCAGGAAAGTATGGGCACCAATAAGCATCATCATGCATCAACTATTAATATGACCACCATTGAGTCATTGAACATCATTGAACCATTCTTGGTGTGGTCTGCCTCATAGCAACATCCGAAGACTTGAACTGGTTCTTGGTTCATTGAACCGTCGTTTACGAAGCTTCTTGGGCCAGCGCTTGTTGGTGTTGTTGACGGTGTCAGGTCGAAGGAACGCTCCACGTTCCAAGTCTGCCAGAATGCAAAAGTAAGGCACCTGTTACTACTAGCGTGGCACTTGTTACTACTAGCTT